CAAACCCAGGTTTGCTGCGTGCAAGTCGAGCTCTTTTTCTTTATTGAAGTTCTCATCCATTATCTCTTCATTTTCATGAGCATCGTTAAAACTGCACATTTTGAGTCCTTTTCAAATAGCTTGCATAGTTCTGTTGACCAGAACATTATCTTGATCCATCAGCGCAGTAAACTTATCTCTCTCCCCGCTAAGGCTGATACCTCAGAGAGCCTGAGCAGTGACTGATTCTGTAGACAAAGGTCTTTGGTCACAACTCTGGCTCCCCATTCAGGTAGGCCTGAGAAGCACCAGGAGCTTCTGTGAAGTGCTTAAACCTGACATTATTGGCCAGTAGAAATGCCACATAATCTAGTAATGAAGTGAAAGAACTAGGGACATGAGGCTTAACAGTAACACTTCCAGAGGTGACTAGAACAGTAATTCACTTAAAGTCATAGGTAATAAACTCATAAATAGCAATATTAGGCAAGGACAACTAGGTGCCCTCAAACCAAATTCATAAAAATTTTCATAGTTCCTTGGGGTTATGGTGCCGCCAGCAGATCAATCTGTACCTGTGAGGCGAGTGCATCAGCAGCCTTATGGCACCTTCACACATCTAGATACCCCAAAATTGCTGCTGTGCCTTTGGCCAGACCCCAAAAACTTGGGGCAAAGTTCACCAAAAAAGTCAATGGCCAAAAGTTAGGTATGTGGGAGACACACCCACAAACCACTTCCAGCTCAGCTATATAATTGGAGGCATGGCCTCTCTGGTTTCTGATCAAATTGCTTAACGGCCATGATCCCAGAGACTCAGAAACGAATCTCAGAAATCCAAAGGCTTTGGCAGAAATACGTCCTGTTCCTGCAGTAGGTTACTGGCGCTGGGCCACTCCAGATGGGAATAGGTTTTATGCCTTGGCTGTTCCCCCTGGCGGCCCGGTAACTGCCATCCTCCAGAGGGCACCGTGGCCTGCAGTGAGGAGACATGCAGGGCCTCACCAGATGGGGTTGGAACCGGCCCTTTTTCTCCCCATCCCAATGAGACCCCGAGTTGCCGCCTACAAATGGCCTCTCTGGGGGCCTGGAGCAATAGCACAGTGGGTAGGGTGTTTGCCTTGCATGCGGCCGACCCGGGTTCAATGCCCAGCATCCCATATGATCCTTTGAGCACCGCCAGGGGTAATTCCTGAGCTCAGAGCCAGGAGTAACCCCTGTGCATCGCCAGGTGTAACTCAAAAAGCAAAAAAAAAAAAAAAAAGTGGCCTCTCTGGCTCCTGATCAAGCTGATTAATGGCCATGATCCCAGAGACTCAGAAACAAATCTCGAAACTCAGTGGCTTTTGGCAGAAATGCATCTGGACCACATACAAGGTGGCTGCCGCCTCAGAGCTTATTGGAAAGCCAGGTAGGAGCCAGTGGTGATGGGGCAACTGCAGTCTCATGGGAAGAGGGATGGTACCGGCACGTCCTTCATGCCCTACCAAGATCATGAGTTGCCCCCCACGAGCAGCTCTCTGGCGCGACCATGACTTCAGAGGCAAAAGGACTTAGTCCAGATCCCGCAGCTTGTGGCAGAAAAGTGAATGGACCATGTGTTAAACTACGGGGCCATGCCTCCCTGGGAGGGAAAGGGTGTTGCTCCCACCTTCCCCCCCCCCCCCCCCGCCCCCAGCAGCAAGGTGGCTGCCTCCTCAGAGCTTATAGGAAAGCCAGGTATGAGCCCATAGTGATAGGGCAACTACAGTTTCATGGGAAGGGGGGCGATAACGGCTCGTCCGTCACGCCCTACCAAGGTCATGAGTTGCCCCCCACGAGTGGCTCTCCAGCACAGCCATAACACCAGACGCACAGAAACCAATCTCATAATTATCTGGCTCTTTGCAGGAATCCAAAATCGCGTGGTCGCTATCATGGCCGCATGACATTATATGATTCTCATAACCAGCTATAGAAAACAAATTATTTCACAATGCCTTTTCAGCAATTCTGATTGTTGGGAGGGAAATTCTAAACAATAATGGTGCATCATTTGTCGAAATAATGAATGTAATCAATGTAGAGAAGAGTTAAGTAGAAATCATCTGCCTCACAGGCACTGGGAGGGGTGAGAGGGGGGTATATTGGGGTTCTTGGTGGTAAAAAATGAAATGAGTACTGGTGAAGGGAAAGGTGTTTGGTCATTGTATGACCGAGACTTGAACCTGAAAGCTTTGTAACTTTTCCCACAGTGATTCAAAAAATAAAATTATGAAAAAAATTTTTTCATAGTTTTTGACATATATTTTGTCAATTATTGACATATGTATTTTGGCACCTATATTTTGTCATATCATTTTATTATTTGTTTTGCATTTTTACTTTTGTTTTTATTATTGTTTGTTTTATTATAATTACATGCATGAAGGGCTGGAGCGATAGCACAGTGGGTAGGGCATTTGCCTTGCATGTGGCCAACCCGGTCGGCCCAGGTTCAATTCCTCCGCCCCTCTCAGAGAGCCTGGCAAGCTACCAAGAGTATCTTGGCCCCTTGGCAAAGCCTGGCAAGCTACCCATGACTTATTCGATACGCCTAACACAGTAACAACAAATCTCACAATGGAGACATTACTGGGCCTATTCAAGCAAATTGATCAGCAGAAGGACAGTGCTACAATGCTACATGCATGAAAATATAAAATTTTATCCAAAAATTGATGTAAAGAACTCAGATGAGAGGGTCAGAGAGATAGTATGGGGTTATGGTGCTTTCCCTGAACATGGCAGACCCAGGTTAAAACCCCAGCACCACAAATAATCCCCCGAGCATCCCCGGAAATTATTCCTGACCACAGATCCAGGAGTAAGTCCTGAATATGTCTGAATGGAGATCATCCCAGGCCCAATAATAAAAATTTCCATGAGTAAAGGGTTTCACTTGCAGTGGAAATAAGGACATGAAAGATGTGCAAACTATTTAAGATATTGACTGCAAAGGCACATAGAAGATAATTGCTCCTGATTGAAGGATGTGGGATTGAGGAAGAGTTTTTGCTTATTATAATGGGAGGAACTGTTACATAAAATAGCAAACAAAACAATATAGAAAGGAGCCCTGAAACCAAGCACTATACTGGAAAAAGCAAGAACCTCTTTGAAAGAATTAGCCACAATGGGCCAGCACAGAGTATTGAATGCACGCCTTGTGTGTATGAGACTTCAAGTTCTGGCATGAATGCCCTGTCCCCAGCACTGCCGGGGGTAGCCTTGGAACTCTCAGCACAGCTGGGCCCAAGCATTGAACAAAGCATCACGAAGAATGACAACTCTTGAATATTGTTGGAAACACCCCCTGCAAAAGACTACTACTACTGTAGAACTGTAGCACTGTCCTCCCGTTGTTAATCGATTTGCTCGAGCGGGTCCAGTAATGGCTCCATTGTGAGACTTGTTGTTACAGAGTTTGGCATATTGAATATGTCACAGGTAGCTTGCCAGGTTTTGCCATGCGGGCGAAATACTCTCAGTAGCTTGCTGGGCTCTCCAAGAGGGGCGGAGGAATTGAACCCAGCTTGGCCGGGCCAGCTGCATGCAAGGCAAATGCCCTCAAATCCAGAGAAACATCTTCCTCTAAAGCTGGAGGAAAAGAGATTTTTTTTCAATTTGTTTTTGTGGGGTTTTATTTCTTTATTTTTTTCTTTTCTGGGTCACACCCAGCGATGCTCAGGAGTTACTCCTGGCTCTGCACTCAGGAAACACCCCTGGAGGTGCTCGGGGGACCATATGGAATGCCAGGGATGGAACCTGGGTCCACACATGCAAGGCTAACACCCTACCCGCTATACTATAGCTCCGGCCCCGGAAAAGAGATTTTTGCACATAATTAATAGGTGGGTGATAGGGGGCTAGAGAGATAGTACAGAAGATACGAAGCTTGCCTTGAACAGGTCTGACCTGGGTTCGATCCCAGCATCCCATGTTTCCCTGAGCAATGCCTGGAGTATTCCCTGAGTGCAGAGCCTGGAGTAACCCATAAAGCATCTCCAGGTGTCAACCCTCCTCCAAAAAAGGCCTAAAAAAAAAAAAAAAAAAAGAACAGATGGGTGAGATGGTAGTCATGAGCAAGTTCTTCATACACAATAGTCTCTATTCTTTTGCATGATAAAAGCCAAAAACCATAAGGAGGAACGTTTTCCTAGAGCGTGGAAGGACGTTGAAAAACTAGTAAAATAGAGAAGAGCTGATTTGGATGCTCGCTCGACTTATTACTGTGAACATTTTGCAGTGAATGCAACCATCAGGTTATAAATCTGAAACTAGTATATGTCCGCTATATCTCCAAAAAAGCTGACTAGAAGACTAGAAGCAGCACATCGACACATGTCCTGGTGGCGCTGAGTTAATTACATAAATTGCATTTATAGAGTGCCAATTCATATGGCGGCAGCTGACACCCCAGAAAGAGCACAGAAAGCTGTTGACTTAATACAAGGTGACTGAGATCTTGGCTTTGGAAGGTGATCAGGTGCTGGAGAAAGTGGTAGCAAACACGTGTAGAGGTCCTCTCTAGAGATTTGCTGGGGCGGCTCTCAAGCAGTGCTCAGGGTGCCCCAGGTCTGCTACTAGAGATGCTCAACCAACTGGGCCAGACCCTCTGGGCACCCTCCAGCCGCCTCCCTTGACTAGGCCTGATGCCCCGCCTTCCGATCTCCCTGGCCGTCGGCACCCAAGGAAGCAGAGGGCCGCTACCCTGGCGGCACACGAGCCCCCCTTCGTCTCGTACTAATAATACTCTTCCATCCCGAAGTCCAAAACGGCGGTGAGTCCAGGGACTCAGCTAAGACACAGCCAGCGCTGCGGGCGAGCGTCACCGGGAGGAGAGGGCGTGCCCTCTGTCAAGAGGACCAATCAGAGCAGGGTGTGCTGGCAGGCCCGCTCCGACTGGCCAATCAGACGCAGGCTGAGCTCGCTGTCTGCTCTGGCACTGGACAGGCTTCCTGTCAGTCAGCGGCTGAGCAAACACGGGCTGGCCAATGGCCGGAGGCGGCCGGGTCAGGCGCGTGGCCGCGCGGTCCCCGGGGGTCCGCCAGCCCAGCGGCGCCGAGGGGACGGGCGCGGTCCTGCCCGCGCGCAGTGCTCGCTGCCGCTGCTCCCGCCCCGCCCGTCGGCCGCGCCGCGTCATGCCAGGCGCTGCTTGGCGTTAGTGCCCAGCCAACGTCCGCCTGCCCACGCGCAGCCGCGCCAACTGCGGAGAGCCAGAGGGATGGTGGTAGTCACAGGACGGGAGCCAGACAGCCGTCGCCCGGACGGTGCCATGTCCAGCTCCGACACCGAAGACGAATTTCTGGAGCCGGCCACCCCGACGGCGACGCAGGCGGAGCACGCACTGCCCCTGCTGCCCCAGGAGGTACCTGGATGGAGGAGGGTGGGGCGGGGCGCGGGGAGGGGCCCCGAGGGAGACGCGGCTGACCTTGGGGTTGGGCAGCGCTGGGATTGGGGGCTGGCTGGGGGTCGGGCTGGCGGAGGAGCTGAACCCCGCTTCCACCGGCCCCATAAAACGCCCTGCTGCAAGGAGCAGCTCCCGGGGTTCTCTGCCTGCGAGGTGCATTTGCGCCCGGCAGGATGGCCCATTCTTGCCAGCTACCGGTGGGAGCCTCGGCCCGGGGGCGGGGGAACGTTGGAGGCCCAAGGGATAATAGTATCCTCTAAAATTCAAGAGGAGGCCCGAGGCGGTTGCCCAAACTCAGCCTCCCGGCTGCCCAGAGTGTGGGCCCGGGGACCGTGCACGGAGAGCACTGACCAATGACTAGAGGTGTCCACGCCCACCTGACTGCCACCGTTTCCCTCGCGGCTGCTGTCCGGTGACGCACAGTGGCCGCTACTAGACTTGATGTGTGTGACAGCGTCCTGCTAACGTCCAGATTGGCCCCCAGGAGAAGGAAGTAGAAGAGGAGGGGAGATGGGGTGCTTCTGGGCACTAACAAGAGGTAGGGCGGAGGTTGCGCAGGACGCGGGAGCCCAGGAGCTGGGAGAATGGACAGAGACCACAATAGGGCAGGGCTGAGCAGGGTGGTTCTTGGGGGTTGCCCTGTAGCCCCAGCATCATGGAAAAATCTAGAGTCCTCCTTCTGAAAGAGGGCTGAGTGCTATTAGAGACCCTAACATTGGGGGAACAGTGTGGTTTGACAATAAGAGCCCAGGACCCAGAGACTTAAGCCAGTCCCTGCGGGCTCCCCACTGTTTCAGTGAGGTGCCTGTTTCAGTTTCAGTGACTTCCACCTTCCGGCCTTGGTTCTCCCTTCTAGGAGGAGCAAGCACTTCACTTGTTAGGATATATCCTTGGAAATGGCTCCAGAAATATGAAGTATGTATTGTTATTCCCAAGAAATAGTTAAGACCTTTGTATGAGCAGGTCCAGTGGTCCTTGGGGATTACTTCTGGTTCTGAGGCTCAGGGATCACTCATTGTGGGGCTCATGGACCTGAGTTCAATCAAGGGCTGATTAAACCCAGGTTGGTCCCGGATAAGGCAAGCACCTTACCCACTGTACTAGCCCTCCAGCTCTTATTTTTTAGAGAACTTCAAGAACAAGAGAAGGCATTTCCTGTTGATCTGGTACAGAAGTGTAATATTCCTTGCAAACAGTAATTGTAAACACCTTTTTCTTTCATTGATTTATATATCTTTGGGTCTTTTATGTGTGCTCAAGGCTCTGTGTAATTAACTTTTTTTTTTTTAATTTGTGGTGTCAAGGATGAAACCCAGGGTCACCACTGAGCCACATCCTCACCCTGTGAGTTTTGAAAGCTGGGAAATGGACCGGCTTGATGAGTAAATCTAGCCTTTCACTGGAGCCAGGCAGATGTAACAGAGAAAAGTGTACATTGGAATAAAAGTTTAGCTTACCTGGAGGAGAGTTGTCAGAAAAGTCGAGACCTGCCTTCATTTCTTTCAGATGCAGTTTGATAGAAGCAGTGAGTCGTAGTTATCCTTAACAACAGTAGAAGGTCCTGAGCATTTTGGGGAAAACCTTGAGTTTCTTGGGGCAAATCTGTTCCATCATTTCCATGTTCTCCAACCTGCCTTTGCCTCCAGCATCTTACCCTTACTGTGTACTGATCTCACTCCAACAGTTTAAGTGTTACACTGGTCAGGTACAGGGTTGAGGAGTGGGTGCCTGAAACAACCGACAAACCTCCAAGTTCCCCTGTGTTAGGCTTCTTGATTGGTAAACTAGATACTTTTCTTTGCCTCTGGAAATTTAGGATCTGATATAGTGGGCTGAGGAGAAAATGTTTGCTGATGTGTTGTGCTAGTGGAGTGAAGGCAAAATTAAAGATGTCTTGAATTTTGTTCCCAGAGTAGAGGAGTTGGAATAGGATTTTCTAGAGTGAGTGCTGCTAATTTTTTTTTTTTGCTTTTTGGGTCACACCTGGTGATGCTCAGGGGTTACTCCTGGCTCATGCACTCAGGAATTGCTCCTAGCCGTGCTCGGGGGACCATATGGGATGCTGAGAATCGAACCTGTGTTGGCCATGTTGGCTGCGTGCAAGGCAAACGCCCTACCCGCTGTGCTATTGCTCCAGTCCCAGAGTGCTGCTAACTTTTATGGTTCATTTCTGACCTAGAAAAAAAGGGCACATGTGAGGCCAGGAAGACAGTTTAAAGGGATGGAGTGGGAACCTTGCATATGTGAGATCCCTGAGTTGGATCTCTGGCATGGCATATCCCTCCTGGTACCCCAGCTACAGCCCTCTGGCCCCCACTACCACTGGGCCTAAGCAGTACTGGGTCACTGGCTGAATGAGAACCTCAGGCCCACCTCACTGGGTTTCACAAGCAGCTGAGTATCACAAATAGCTCCCAGTTCTGAACAGGGTTGGGCTTGCAGATCACTCTTTTTTTTTTTTTAACTTTTTATTAGTGAAACACCAGTGGTAGACATACAAATTTTTGTGCTTGGGTTTCAGTTATACAATGATCGAGTACCCATCCCTCACCAGTGCCCATTCTTCACCACCACTAATCCCAGGATCCCTCCTACTCCCCATCCCCCCCATCCCACCCTGCTTCTGTGACAAGGCATTTCCTTTTGTTCTCTCTCTCCTTTTGGGTGCTGTGGTTTGCAGATCACTCTTGCTGCTCTCATGCTGCCATTGGGAAATTTGTGTTTGCTAAATGGACTGAGGGAAAGTGGTGAGAGCACAATGGGCCCGACATTTTGAGTAAGGAGACAGAAATGATAAATTTAGGAAGTGGAAGAAAATGAAAGTTTTTGAACTCTGTAGCAGAAAGAACGGGATTAGGGTGGAGAGTCGTGATTTAAGAGCTGTTGGGGGCAGGGCTAAAGAAACAGTACAGTGGATATAGGGCACTTGCCTTGCCCACGAGTGACACCTGAGCAAAGATCCAGGAGTAAGCCCTGAACACTGCTGGATGTGGCCCCAAAACCTAAATAAATAAATAAATAAAGCAAGCTATCAGGAGAACAGGAAGACTTGGAAAATGACAAGAAGAGAGGAAGGGATGGGAGGGAGAAGAGAGTTCTGAAAGGTTTGGGCCTTGAGTGACCGAATGAATGTGTGGTGCTTATCTAGAAGATGACGATGGTGCAGTTCTGGCTTTTATCCCCTTGCTGGCTGAGACTGCTGGTGGTTCCTTTCCAGTTTCCTGAGGTTGTCCCTCTTAACATTGGAGGGGCTCACTTCACCACACGCCTGTCCACCCTACGGCGCTATGAAGACACCATGTTGGCAGCCATGTTCAGCGGGCGACATTATATCCCCACTGATGCTGAGGGCCGGTACTTCATTGACCGGGATGGCACACACTTTGGGTATGTCTTTCCCTCTATGATCAACTGTGTGGTCCTTAATACTGAGTGACGTGGTCCTGGGGGTGGGGAGGTTCCATCATCCATGGCACATAGAAGAGGAAATAACTTACTGATGGGATTCAGTAAACGTTCTTACTCAATTGGACTAGAGTTTTTAGTTACTTCCCCAAAGTTGATGAGGAAAGTTGGAGAAACCCCAGGTAACACAATTGGTAGGTTATGATGAAACTATTTCTTTACTTTTTTTTCTTTTTTTCTTTTTCTATTTACTTTGGGTATTGGACTCACCTGGCAGGTCTCCAAGACTATTCCTGGCTCTGTGCTTCAGAAGTTACCCCTGGTGGTGCTGGGGAAACCCTATGTGCCTGCAAGACAAATGCCTCACTCCTGTACTGTCTCTCCAATGATGAAACTATTTATAGTCTATATAATTTTAGACCTAAACCTTGTTATCTGTGTGCCTTCCCATGTAGAGGCAGGGAAGGTCCAAAGCAATTTCTTGAAGTTGTTTTGAGATCCAAATTGTGACAAGCTTTGTTTGTTGTTTTTGGTGGGATGTCTCCGCAGTGGTGCTTGAGGGTGAGGGGTACAAGGCTGTGACTCACTTCTGGTGAAACTTGGCCTGGCCAGGTTTCAGTGCTTGGGTGGCAGTGCTGGGGACCACCAGGCCCAACCCTAGCAGTACTGGGCTGACAAACTTTTTTTGAGATTTTTTTCCCCAGAATTATGTCTTTCCATAATTTTGGTGTTAAGATGGCAGTAGAGAATTTTCCTTGTTTGGTTTTGGGGCCACACCTGACAGTGCTCTGCTCTCAGGGATCACTTATGGTGGTTCCCAGGGAACCATACGGGATGATGGGGCTCAAACCTAGGTTGACTGTGACCAACTCTCTCTCTAGCCTGAATGGCAGAAAATTGTTTTAGCCACCCCACCCTACCAAAAAAGACTGGCAGGGGTGGCGGGGCGGCTCAGAGAGATAGCTCGATGTTAAACGCATGTGCTGCATATGGAAGGCCCAGGGCAACCCCCAGCCTCACACGGATCCCTAAATACAGAGCCAGAAATAGCTCCTCAGCACTGCTGCGTGTGGCCCCAAAACAAAACAAATTTTCCTTGGCAGTGAAGAAAGGGCCAACATAGTGTTGTTATCCTTCATGCCAAGAAAAGTTTTTTTTTTTTAAAAACCAGGGGTTCTAAGCGCTGGTCTACTTGCACTGAATTATGAGGCCCAGGTTCAATCCCTGGAACCACATAGTCCCCTGAGCACCAATGAGAATGACCCTTGAGCACTAAGGTACAGTCATTCCCAAAGGAATAAAAAAAATAAAATTCAAAATCTTTCTATTTTTGTTGTCATTGTAGCATTAGAACACAAAGTCTGGAAAGATTTTCCAAGAAAGTATGTTTTTTTTACAATTTTACACATAAATAAATTTTAAAACTTTGTTTGTGAAATTAAAAACGAATTAAGCTAAATTGCAAGCCTGTCGTATGGATTAAATAAAGTGGCTTGACCCCCATCCAGGTCCTCTCCAAGTATGTGACTGAAACGCTTTGCTCCTTCAGTCTAACTTTGGAAATGACTCAGGAATTAATATGGTCCTTGGCTGGAACATGTGGCCGGCGAGACAGACGCTGCAACTTCTCCCTCTCTGCTGGCCTCCAGCAGTATGGCCCAGCATTAAGAGGAAGGTCATTTCTATCCTCCGAAGGAGCCTCTGGTCAGATCACTTGGTTCCGAGCATGTGGGCTTCCCCATCGGGCTGTCAGCTGCCTCGAATGCTGAGAAAACAAAGTGTCACATAGCTCTGCAAAGCTATAAAAAGATTCTTGTTTGCAGGCTGCTTGGGGGAGGAAGGCTGGCCCCTGCTGGCAGCTGCTGCCCTCCGGTTTTCTTTCTCAGAACTTACCCAGTTTTGCTGAAGATCCTAGAGGGCTAATTTTGGAAGGGTTGTGGGAAGGGGAACCGTGTTTGGCTTTCACACTGATGCTGGGCTTAGAGTGGCAGAAAGTGGCATGGAAACCAGCGGGACCTTGTGGCGTTTATCCTCCGGCTGCTAGAAGCCAGTGTGATTCAGCAGCGGCAGATACAGTTGTTGAAGTCAGTCCTGAAAGAGAGGTTCAGCGCAGTTGTGCAGTGCAGTTCTCTGCCGGTGTAGTTCATGGCAGCTACCCAGAGTGGAAGGCTGCCTGGTCTCCACATAGTACAGGGTTCGGGTACAGCATCTTGGACCACTGTGCCTGCATCCCACTCTCGGAGCAAGGGTGTTCTTTAGCACACTGAGCTCCACTTCTTCCTCATTCCTAAAGTAGACACGAGATCGCACTTATTCCATAATGTCACCAAAAGGATTAAAGGGGACATTGTGAGCATGAGCAGTGGCTGAGAGCACTAGCCCATAGAGCATTTTGGTAGTGGCAGCTGGGGAACATTGAGGTAGCAGTTTGATCTCGTTTACTCCTAAATGCTTATAGAAAAAAACCCTCTTTACAAGTTCCAGAAATGGATCTGATTGCTCTTGACACTGAGGAGTCTGAAGGTGTTATCTTAAAGACTGAATTTTTATTTTAAGAAAATACAGTGCATCATTTTCTTGGCTCCGGAAATCAGTTTGTTCAAATGTTAGAGTTAGGCATTTGATCTTCTCCATCCAACTACAGAATAATCCTAACGGTAGGGATGTGTAGATGTGGGCCGCCTCCTCATGGCTGTGGGAATGCAGAATGTCGCAGACACTTCATTAAACCTGTGGCTGAACAGTGCTACTAGAATTCGCCTAAGAGAAACTGGTGCTCGAGTCTTCAGAAGGTCTCACGTAGGAATGTTCATCACAGCTTCCCTCGTAAGAGCTCTACACTGGCCACTCAAACATCCATCCAAGCAGAAAATAGGCACATACAGCGCATCCACTCACTGGTATGCTACTGGTATGCTGGCAAGAAAGAACAAATAACTGTCCTACGCAACCTGGGGATGCATCCCCGAAATTCAAAAATTAAGTTGTGCAGAAGAAGCCGGGCACAAAATGGATCATGCTGTATGATTCTACTGAATATTAATTCCAAAAGTCAAAACTAATGCAAGTTAGTTCTCTATCTCTGTGGAGAGTGAGACCATGTACAACAAGGTGAACGGTGAAGGGAAGGAGGCGGAAATAGCTCATCTCATCTAGCCCAGTGTTTCCAAAGTGAGTGATACTGTCCCCTGGGGGGCGCTTGGGTACTACTGTAGGGTGCGTTTGTTCGCTGAAAGAAGGTACATTTTCAGAGGTGCTGAATGGTTCCTCCCTCTCCCCACCTCCCCTGGATAGGGAGAAGTAGGACAAGTAAGTTTGGAGGTCTCTGATCTAGATGGCTGTATGGTCCATTCATACATAAAAATAATTGGGAGGGTGGAAAGCTAGTATGGGGTTAAGGCATTTGCTTTGCATGTGGCCAACCCTGGTTTGATCCCCAGCACCCCATAGCCAGCACCCCATATCCAGCACCTCATATAATCTCCTGAGCTTTGCCCAGAAGTAATCTCCAAGCTTAGAGCCATTATAACTTTCAACACTGCTGGGTGTGGTCCAAAAACTAATAATAGTAATAATAAGAAGAAAGAACTTATGAATTATGATTTTGGTGATTTGGAGTGATAGTACAGTGAATAAGGTGCTTGCCTTGCACATGGCCAACCTTGGTGCAATCCCTGGCACCCTGTATGCTCCCTGAGCAGCACCGGGAGTGATTCCTGAGTGCAGAGCCAGGAGTAAGCCTTGAGCGCTGCTGGGTGTGCCTCCCCCCATAAAACAAACCTAATGATTTTTTACATTAATTGAGTATGATTATACCTCCATCAAAATATATTAAAGGACTAGGCATCATGTATGTTCTTGCATAAACATAATCATAGCCACATATAATAGCACAATTATAGTAATACTGATGTTAATAGTAACAACTACTAACACTAAGGACTTGACCTGTGCCCAGAACTTTCTAGGCACTTTCTCCATGTTGACTAATTTAGCTCTCTCCTAACATTATAGGGTATGTCCCCAGGTTTTACAAATGAGAAAATGAAGACACAGAGAGGCTAAGCTCACCGCCCCAGACTTCCTACTGGCGTTCGGAGGCCTCACCTGTGCTTAGCCACTCTGCGGTGCTGCTCCGATGCTGGAGCTCCTCTCACCCGTCTTCTTTCCTCCTGCTCAGAGATGTGCTGAACTTCCTGCGCTCGGGAGACTTGCCCCCCCGGGACCGCGTGCAGGCCGTGCACAAAGAGGCCCAGTACTATGCCATCGGGCCCCTCCTGGAGCAGCTGGAGAACATGCAGCCGCTGAAGGGGGAGAAAGTGCGCCAGGCGTTTCTGGAACTCATGCCCTATTACAAAGGTGAGGGGTCAACAGCAGGGCAGTGGGGACAGAGGGTGGCAAGGCCTCTATCAGTCTCTATCAGCGCCAGCGGGTTAACTGTCACCCATGCACACAACACAGGATGGGAGTGATTCCCGCTTTCCTTTCTGACAGCTTCGGGCACAGGTGACTGGTGTGGGTCAAGTTGCCTTGCGGAAGGAAACTCTCGGCCTTCTGCTGTGGAGCACCCAGTCCCCAGTTCATTGTGCCCCTTTCCCAGAATTCTGACTCTCCTCTCTTGGATCTCGCCATCACTTGGTCTCTTTGGGCTCCCTCCCACTGCCTTGCCTCACCCCTGCCTCCCAACCCTCCCACTCCAATGATAGGTGCTGTGTTCACCCCCATAGACCATTTGGAGCGGATTGTGGAGATTGCCCAGCTGCGCGCGGTCCAGCGGAAGGCCCGCTTTGCCAAGCTCAAGGTCTGTGTCTTCAAGGAGGAGATGCCCATCACCCCCTATGAGTGTCCCCTTTTCAACTCCCTGCGCTTCGAGAGGAGCGAGAGTGACGGGCAGATCTTTCAGCACCACTGCGAGGTGGATGTGTCTTTCGGGCCCTGGGAGGCCGTGGCCGATGTGTATGACCTGCTGCACTGCCTGGTCACGGACCTCTCTGCCCAGGGCCTCACCGTGGACCACCAGTGCATCGGGGTGTGTGACAAGCACCTCATCAGTCACTACTACTGCAAGCGTCCCATCTATGAGTTCAAGATCACCTGGTGGTGAGTAGCCCTGGTAGGGAACAGAGTCCCGTCAGGGAGGGTGTCCCTGCCCCTTGGTGGCACTGGGAGGAGACTCCCCGAAAGGGTTACTGACTGGCCCAGAACCTGCCGAGGTGAGGACTGAGCCCTGAGGCGAAGCTCCAGCGGGAGGGCGACCCGGCTTCAGTTTCCCTGGCGGCACTTCAGCGTCAGACTCGTGGCCCACGGGGACTTGGGGCCTGCACTCACTGGTCTTTCCTCAAGGCCTTGGCAGCCTTTGCCTGGGGCTGAGGTGGTCTGGCTAGCTAGGGCTGGACCAGGAAGTTCAGAGAGGTTTTTTTTATTTTCTTGACCTTACCCTTTTTAGAGCCGCGTTAATCCCCTCCCCCCAAAAAATATAGTCATAATCACTTTCTGACCCTATTCTAATATTTCTTGCTGTGCCCAGGGTATAAGGTATGAATGTAGAAAGTATGAGGGGATTTACTAAGTAGCTCTTTGCAGCTTCTGCTGAGGAAGAAAGAGCATCTTCTTTCCTAACGCACTCTTACCCCAAGAATAGTCTTGTGTGTTGTCTTAGGATGTGGAAAGTCTCTTCTTTTCCTCTCAACATCGAGTTTTCACCACAATTTGGAGCTGTAACCATAGTTGCCAAAAACATGCACCAGGATGGCCTTAGAACAGCACCATGTTTACAGCCCTGCCTTGGGGCCTTGGCTTTTTTCTACCTTCTCACCAACTCTTCTTGCTTGAGGGGTTATCTTCTTTCAAGGCTGGAATTCACGTTTCAGAGGTTCCTTATTTTCGCTTTGTTTTGTTTCTTTGGGGCCTTCCCAGTGGTGCTGGGGTTACATCCCCTGTATTGGGAAGCCGAGTGGTGCCAGGGCTCGACCGTTGGGCCCTGTGCATGCCAGGCATGTGCTCCAGCCCTTGGAGCTATCTCCTCGCTCCAGAGGCTCCTTTGGAAGATACCCCGAGTCAAGCAGGCAAGATGCCTCGATCTTCTGTTATCTTTGAGCTGTGCCTCTGTGGTTGGGATTTAACTGTATCAGGATCCAATTTGTGGTGAACTTCCTTAAATGAGAGCCCCCTATTTAAATCCTGTTGCTTTGTCCTGCTAACCCCCTAGGAGACTGTGCTAGGGCAGTAAAGAAAGGGTTTGCAGTGAGAGGCAGAGCTATCCCAGAGCTGTTGGAAGACATGCCCCCGTTCTGTTTGACTGCCCGTATTTCAGAGAGAGAAAGTGATGGCGTGCATCACTCCCTTCAGATTTCTTCCTGGCTTCATCTGCAGCCGGGCAGCAGCTAGTCAGGGCACAGACACGCATCCCTCCCTGCCCACCAAAGGAAGAGCAGTGTGTTGGGATGGCGTTTCTGTGCCACTTGACAATTCTCCCTGTGGTGTATGCAGTTGATTGCTCTTACAGGAAGATTTAAAAATATATGTGTGTGTGTACGTGTGTGTATATATATACACACACAGAACTGATGAGGAAGTCTCAACGGTCTGTCTTAAGAGACCAGATTGGTAAAGTAGAGCACAGGGAAGCGGAAGAGCCTTTCTCATTTTGAAGAGAAGGCGAAGTCCTCGGACCTTGAGTAAATTTTCTTTCTTTCTTGTTTTCTTTCTTTCTTTTCTTTTCTTTTTCTTTCCTTTCTTCCTTTTCCTTTTTCCTTCTTTTTTCTTTCTTCATTCCTTCCTTTTTCCTTCATTCCTTCTTTCCTTCCTTCCTCCCTCCCTTCCTCCTTCCCTCCCTCCCTCCTTCCTTCCTTCCTTTCTTTCTTTCTTTCTTTCTTTCTTTCTTTCTTTCTTTCTTTCTTTCTTTCTTTCTGTCTTTCTGTCTTTCTGTCTTTCTTCTTTTCTTCCTTTCTTCCTTTCTTTTTTCTTTCTTTCTCTTTGTGGGTGGTGGTAGTGTTCAGGGATGTACCCAGCAGTGCTTAGGGGCTACTCCTAACTTGATATTTGGGGGTGACTCCTGGATGTGCTCAGGGATCGGTCTAGTGCTGGAAATCAAAATGGCTCCTGGATGCAGAGCAGATTCTCCAGTGTTGAGCTCTTTCTCTAGCCCTTGACGGAATTAGGGTTCCATGTGGGTACAGAGAGGCTAGGGCGTGGGAGGGGGAGGCCATCATGACAGTGCTTGAAGGCTACTCCTGGGTCAGTGCTCGGGGTCACTTCTAACTCTGCTCATGGTACCTTGCAGAGCCACGGACCAACCCAGGCCTCCCACATACCAAGCCTGCTCCTGGCCCTTTGAGCTAGCTTCCCAGCCTACGTATTTGCATTCTTATATTAGATGGAGCAGACGAATTGGCTGAGATCTCAGAGGAAACTGCAGTCATTTAGGTCCCAAGGAATGTGTTCTCTATTCTCATCCATAAAGTGGATTGTCACCTTGCCGAAACTAATGTCCTTGGCTTGTTCTAACAGGTTTGTTTTTCTCGAAGTTTCTCTGATTGGTATTGCTGCTTAAAACTGGTTCATTTTCTGACAGATACAGAGGAATAATTCAGTGTGTATAGAGAGCAGCTGATTAAGCCCAGGCTTTTGGGCACCCAACCTTGCTTCTTCCCATTCCTGTCCCCAGTAGGGCAAATCTTAGCACTTGGTCTGCCATATAAAACACAAGGAGATGGCGGGGTAAGGGGGTGGGGTGTGAAGGAGCACTGAAGAGGACAGAGATGTAGCTTAGCAGTGGGGTGCAGGCTCCAAATGTTTGAGGCCCTGGGTTTGACTTCCAGCAAACACACACACATACACACACACACACACACACACACACACACACACACAAAGACCTGAAGACTTACTGGGTCTTTAAGGACAGTGTTCTTTGCGTCTTTCTGGAAACACCCCTACTTCTGGGTCTCTCTGATGTTGTCCTCACAGTGGTATGCAGTGTGGCATTGTAGAGAAGAGTTCAGTAGACCAGAAAGAGTGGGGACATTGATGGCCAGTTTAGAGCACCTTCTAAATAGAGTAAAAGGATTCAGTGGCCCAGTTTGGCTATTCTGTGATGAGAGGCCAAATTGGGACTAGAAATGTGCTTTTGGATATGGTGGAAGCTATTGCTTCCTTGTGGGGTATCTCTTAGGAAGTGATTTCTCCCGGTTGGTTCCCTTTCCAACTCTGAATGGCCAGAATACAGAAGGGTTGCATCAGGAAGGAACCCTCCAAAAGATGAATGCTTCTCCCTGACTAAAAGGAAGTATATTTTTAAATGTTTGTGCTTAATGTCAATAAATGCTTCTCTCACCTGATTTATCCTACTGAGACAGATCATTGGCTATTGATTATTTGGGTCCAACCAAAGTGCCTACTCTTGAACTTCCCTTATGTTTTACTTAGGGCTCTCTTCTCACAAGTGTGAGCCTCACTGGCTTGGGAAGGAGAAAGTTTTTAGGATTGTATGATGCAATGCTAACCATAACTAAATTCAGTAAAAATGAAAAACTCAATGGCAATAAAAAAAAGACTGAAACAAAACCACGATAAAAAAAAAATATTACATCACACCAGATGATAAAAACTCTGGTGATAGCACTAAATAGAAGAAATAGAGGAATCGTCACCATCCTTATGCTCCCTCTGGTTAATTCACCAGACTATACAGATCATACCATGTGGATCATAGAAAACTATCCTCCAGAATTTTCTACCCTTTCTTCCTGGGGCTTGGTGATATTCTAGAGCTCTCTGAGCCTCGTATCTCGGACTAATCACATGAAAGTTTTCCGTTCTGGGTGGCTGGATGGAGGACTAGGAAAATGACATCTGCAAGCCACAAAGGGGGGTGAACCTCAATGTGTGATCTTGGTCTGAGTTGGATTCTGAAGAGGTTCAGACAAACAGCAGAATAAAAACTACTTACACTGAAATATTTTGATCCCTGTTAGAATCTCAAGAATCATCCTTCTACATGCCTGTTCATGTTCAATTCTAATAAGCGGTTAAGCACTTTTTGGGTACCATTTGGCTGGAACTCTTTCATGAAGGTGCTGCCTACCTCATGATACTTAAAAGAAGGAGACATTATTCATCAAAAGCAGCAATGCTGGGATACTAGGGTGGGAGAGGCACTTTTTGGAATTCTTGGAAATTCTTGGAAAAACATGTATATGTAATATGTTAAGTGGGGAAAAGTGGGTTGGCAGGGGGTTGGAGGAAGAACAAAGACTGGGTGTAGGAATAGAACTTGTCTCTCAACTGTGGGAGGTCACTTGGTTCATTGTCTTCCTCCTGTATGGTGTTGGGTTTGTGTACACTTTCTGTGTTTGTTCATTACCTTGTCTGTGAGCGCTTTGGTGCATGGAGCTGCAGTACCCTCACAAGGCATTAAAGTCAAGTATTAGAACCTGGGTGCTGTGCCTTTTTTTATTAGAGATTTGCTCTCATCCCTCCCCTGCCCGTACTTTGCCAGCAAATATATCTTGATTTCTGCTTATAAGGTGGTAAGTTTGGGAATGTTGCTCTAAATTTAAAAAAAAGAGGGGGGGGCTCTTTCTTAAGACCAGCAACCGAATTCCTGCCCTGTTTTGGGGGATGGGGACCATGAAAGTAGTTACTCTAAGTCGTATCTCTGTTTCAGGTAGGAGTGTATCCACCCAACAGAGACAAGCACCTCTGCTCTCTCTATTTAACATTTTCCAGATAGCACAGCTGAAATGATGTGGCTCAAAAGCTTGCCAGGTCGTTCTGAAAGAAAGTTTTCCTCTCTGGTTACCACTTCTTTGTAAAAGAAGCTTAGTAGCCCTAAACATACATGTGACTCCATGATTAAGGCCCTTCTTTAGGAACGTGGACCTAAGCTGCCCTTACTCCAAAAGCAGAGTCTGATGCCTTCCCAGCTGCAAGTGCCCCAACTAGATGGATTAGTCTCCACAGACTAATCTAGAAAGTTGAGTTCTGAGGTGCTGGGTAGCTAACTGCAACATTTAACGCTGGTTATTCTGTCTTAGACAAAAGTGCTGAATCATCTGTGCCAAATGTACTCTCTGATCTAATTACTGTGCATATAATCACTTAGTAATAATACACTAACATCTTAAAAGTTGGAAACTAAAGCTCACAAAGGTGTGATTTCCTGAAGGATATATACCTAGTAAGCAAAGCCAGAATTCAAACCTAGACCCTTTTGTGCAACCCTCAGGGGTGTTCAATAGCAGAACTCTGCTTTCTTTTTGGCAGTCCAGTTTCCCACTGCTGAGACTCAGAGTTTTACCCTTCCTGAACCATGAAGTTTTGAAAAGCAGACACTCTAATTAGACTTCCTCCTTAGACATGGAGGCCTTACATAATCCTGAACATTAAGGAGGTAGAGGGATCCTCAATTTATTACGCTCAAGAAAG